GGAAAAGCTGTGGGACAGGGAAATCAGAACTTGTCCATGGCTGTCACACATCAGGACCCACATTCTTTTTCCTCTTTCAGCACATCCCAGAGAGGGCAGGGTGGGGATGTCCCTTGCTGAGGAAAGGATTGCCTCAAATCACTCAAAAAACTCAGTGAAATTCAGTGAAATCAGGCCAGCTATGGATGAAGAAAAGCATGTCCCATGTGCTGTGGGACAGAGAAATCAGAACTTGTCCATGGCTGTCACACAGTAATTGTGTGACTCTCTAAAACTGCTTCCCAGCTGCTCCCTCTCTGCTTTCTGTGTCTGCCCTGGTGAGGAAATGGGCAAACAAGAAAGGAAAAATGTGTTTGTGCCAATGAATGCTGTGAGTGTTTCGTGCCAGATTAATTAAGTATTTTTGGAGCACATGCACCATCCTGTCTCGTGAATGAAGCTTCGCTGCTGCTGGCAAAACTCTCTGGCTCTTCACTGGGGTGCCTGCTATTAAATATAAAAAGCGAAAGTAAAATTTGGTCCCTGAGATGAAAAAAAAAAAAAAAAAACAACATGAAAAACAAAGGATTACTCAGCCTCTCCCCCTCCCTTCCTGCCTGCAGCTGGAGCTGAAATCCGTTTCCCTTTCCCCAGGCGCTGGATTCAGTTTACTTCACTGGCTTTGCAGAGACCAACAAGACCTTTGTGATTGCTCGTCTGGCCAAACGTCCCAACGGGATCTGTGAGATGTGGCTCTTCCTCAGGGTGGACGGAATAGGAGAGTTTGAAGTGAGTGGTGGATGCGGGATGACATTCCAGAGCGGTGCTCAACTCCTGCCTTGAACCTGTGTTAGGATCCTGAGCAAAAATTAATGTTCTCTGCAGCTTCACTGCATTAATATGCTAACAGTAAGACAGTGGTGAACTGGCCAGATTACGGTTATGTCTCATTTTAGGAGTAGGTATCTGACACTCATTCCATTTTCCCCATAACGTGCACAAAATACAGCATATTTTCTAAAATATGTCTTGGTAAGTCTCCCAGGAAGAATCTGAGCATTCTGTCCTTCTGATAAGGTGCAGCACGTGGCTAATAAGTTACATTCTATGGTTATGGTTGATTTTTTCCCCTTTTCTAATGAGTGAATGAACTGTGCAGCACATGGCTAATAAATTACATTCTATGGTTATGGTTGTTTTTTTTCCCCTTTTCTAATGAGTGAATGAACTGCCAACCAAGTTCAGGACCTCCTTAGATCCTACAGCAACAGGCGTAAGGTCTCTTTAAGAAAGGTGGCAGCTTTAGGAAACAAGATGCAGTTTTCAAAGAGCAGCTGAAGAGTTTTGGGAGCCTGCATGCGCTAGAAATTTGAATCAATTTAATCTAACAATAATTTGACCCCAAAGCCCTGCATCAGCTGGGCTGTAAACCTGACAGAGTCACTAACGCAAGGAGCTGAGCTCATGCAGTGACCTGCCTTCACACAACTAATTCAGTTGCATTATCTGAAACAATAACGTATTGTTTTGGAACTCAGGTATTTTAGGGAGAATTTCCCTTCTCTAATAATCTGGTTACCAAAAGCAGGTAGAACTGAAAAGCCAGTTTAACCAAACGTTCCCCCTGCAGAGGACCATCAGAGCAGGAATTCGCCCCCGTTGCATCCCCACAATTAAGAATGAAGCAGGTGTTTTCCTTATATGTCTTTTTAGCACCCACAACATCCCAACATGATGGTGAGTGATGAATCGGAAGAGATTTGGAGTGCAGGAGGGCTCACTATTGAATACTTAGAGCCTCAAAGTCACTGGAAAATAAGCTTCGATGGATTACTCAGGTACTGCAGCACTCTATAGTTTCATTTAAGATGAAGGTTTTTTAAACGATATATTTAACCGACTTAAACCAAAACCTATTTGGTAACAATAGCACACATTGATTTTTATGGAACAAAAATACAGCTAGTAATACCTGTGTCTGGTGTAGAGTTGTAATGTAGCTTTGCTGTTCTACCTTAGCACAAAATAGCCCCATTCTTCTGCAATGTCTCCTGTTGCATCCACTTCCAAACTTGGGAGAAACATTTTGCTGTTTGTTTAGGAGGGATACAAAACTGTAGTGCTTTGCCTTGCAGAAAAGGACCCTACCGACAGCAGTGGAGTGAAGAGGAGGGTGAACTTGTACCAGTTAAATTCACTTTGCAGTAAGAGCATTTCACTTTTGCCTCCCTTCCTAGGTAATCTCTTGACTCAGGCTGTTGTTTCTCCTCTCGGCTTCCTTCTGTTTGCTTCCTTGAAAAGCTGTGATATTTCAAAGGAGAAAAATCGGAATTTTCCAATAATGATAAAATACAAAGGTTGCCATTGTCAGAGTAGCAAGTGCACAACTTGGCTAGTATGACCTTAAAAGCTAATAATGTCTCTGATTTTTTCCCCTCTTTTCCTAGCTGGGAGAACTTCACAGAAGTCTTTAACTTCAGTGTCGACAGTCACCCCAGCACATTTGCACGTGCTTTTGCCCAGGAACCGTGGACCATCGAGTTCTTCCAGAGGGTCAAAAAGTGAGAGGCAAGATTAATTTCCTCAGGGCTTAATAGTAATTTTTATACAGGTCCCTTCAGGGTCTGATGTGTGTGGTCGCAGGGGATTTTAGAAGGTGGGTTTAATTTGAAGTGAGCTAATAAAGGATATGGCCTCCTGGTTTCATTACTACATCAGACCTGCATCCTCTAAGGAGGATCCTACACAAAAACAGGGTCTTCCTGATGGGTGGGTGGAGGCACTTGCCCACAATTTTGGTCTGTAAAACCTTGAGCATTGGGGATGTTTCTTATTCTCTCTTTTTTCATTGCTAACAACCTGATTTAGGCTTTGCTTCCAAAGCCAATAGTGCAGGTATATCTAAGCAAAGGATCAAATATACTTGTGTGAAAGCAGGACTAGAGTTGGTATTTTAATGAGTACACAAGCTCCAGAGAGAGGAAAATATGGGAAGAAAAAATGAGTATCAATAGTGTGTTGCCTAAATACCAGCAGAAAATATGTATACCAATAGTGTGTTGTCTTTGGTAATACTTATGGACTTCTAAGCAGCAACTGTTTGGTGGTAACAGCATTTTTTCAAACAGAGGGCATTTTTATAGTCTGTAAGGGAAGGAATTTGTTGCCTTTTCATTCTCAGCTGTCTCCCAGACATTATGTAGCAATAACTGGGAAATGCAAAAGTGGTTGCTAATGTGGAAAATCTGGCATAGCCATGATCCAGATGCTCTGAAATCTCTCCTTCATTTTGGGATATAAGTCTATCAGATTGGCACTGGGGGCACCTTGATTTTGCCTTGTTGATTTTGCCTGTCTGTTCACGTTTTTCTTTCTCCCAGACAAAGGGAACAACATTTCCGACATGAGCAATGGGGCGAGTCTGTTGGAGAAATTGAAATTGAAAATCATGAGAAAACTCAGCTTTCCCTCAAAGGCGTTCGGAGCCACTCTTATGGTAACAGCACCAGAAACAACTCCCTCACTTGGCTACCTGCACTGTCGATGACACTGGCGGGACAGGGGGGCTAAAGATTATCTTTAAAAATAGCCAGTTTCATCACTGGAAGTTAAGACATTTCAGAGGAAATGCCATGACTGTTTTGGGGACATGCCTGTGCTTATCATTTTATCAATTGCTGGGTATTTCTTTATCCAAAGTTAAATTCAAGTCAGGTGCTATTAGTTCACTTTTTCCAGCACTGGTGAATTTGAGGTTGGGTGATTTTGTTCTTTTTTGCAGGTATCCGGGACTGGTCTGAGATTTACCGTTATGTCATGATTTTGGCACACTTTGAGGTAGGCATTAATATGCCAATGTGCTACATAACCATGAAAATGGAGGTGTTCCTGAGCTTGTGAGTTGTATTTAAATAGCCAGAAATAAGGCATTGGGAGCATCCAGGGTAGGCAATCAGAAGTACTCAGTGGTGCCATCATTAGCACATAGGAGTGTTGGCAGCAGCTCTCAAAAGCAGAGCCGTGTGTGTAAAAACTGAGATTTAGCTACGTTGGTAGAACCAAAAGTTGTTTTGGTAACTTGAAACTGTTTGTTTTGGATTTTTAAAGAAAAATTAGATAGGCAGCTTTACAGGGCAGATTCTCAGCTGCCGCAGATACCCAGTGGAGTTGATGCAGTGCTGATTCACACTAAGTGAGAGCCTGAGGTGCTTGAAGGCATCTCCCAAGCCTTCGTGACAGCAGTCAGCAAATATTTCTGCTTGTGCTGAGCTCTGATTCTCTGCTTTGCTGCTGTGGCTGTGCCGGAGGAGAGTCATTGCTGTGGCTGCTGGAGCACACAAGCCTGGGGAAATGCTGAGTGCTGGCGGTACAAGCTGGTGTGCAACCCGAACAGATGGTCCTGAAAAGGCATTTCCTTTGCCAACACAGGCGTGAAGAAATCTAAACTCTCTAATGTAGGCAGAGTTGCAGGAGTTAAGACCGAATTCAGAATAAAAGTTCCTTTCCTGGCCAGCACAAAAGCACACCTTGGAAAATCCCACATATGTGCAGATCCAGTGGCTGCTGTGATTTAACATAAGCCTGCATGCCTTTTAATAGGACTGTGCTTTTGCACTGTAACGTGTATACTCAGGTAGTACCCTCTCCCTTTTCTTCATCGTTATTCAGGACTCAAAATTACTGCTGCTCTTCCTCTCTTAATTAAAATTTTTCTAAGAGGGAATTAAATTTTATTGCCAATTGAATTTTGGAGTCCTCATACCCTGAGTGTCTGTACATATGTAACATCACAGCGTGGGCTTATATTTGCTGTAGAGCAGCCCAAGTGGAGCATGAAGGGACTCAGACGCAAGGATGGAAGAGAAAATAACAAAAACATGAGATCCCAGATCCTTCTTATTTAACATTTTTTCCTATATGTTGTTCTTGGGCATAGAATAATACAGGTTAGAAAAGATGTCTGGTCAAAGCAGGGCCAACTTTGCTAGGTTGCCCATCGGTTTTGATGGGCACCTCCTCTGATGTCTGCTTGCTGTGGGCTTTCTGTTGTCCTTAATGTCCTTAAATTGCCCTGGTTTATATTCTTGGACTCTTCATTTGCAGCCAGGTTTTCATGGAAGATGTACTGAGAAGATTTAAAAGTAGAAAGTCAAGGCACGTTGTATAACCTGAGTTGTATCTTGGTCAAGTCAGTGTCTGATCCACAAAAATGACTCCACACCAATTAGACTGCTTTTTCTTTATTGCTCTCTTACAGGATGGGACTGCAGCACATTTAACAGTTATTAATATGCCAGCTACCACAACTAAGTAAGTAACAAAGGAGGTTTATGCTGCTAAAAACATACGTCTTAAAGGTGGCAGAAGTTGCTGTGCAGGACATCTATATGCACATTCTTGCTTTGAACCTGTGCAGCCTGATTTCCATCCACACCCTCGTGCTCCCCACTCACGGTGCCTGATTTTTTGCAGTTAGTCACAAGGAAAGCTTTTACCTCCAATTACTTCCTTTCCATCCAATTACTATTAGGGTGATGCAGCTGCCTGTCTTACTGTCTCGATGATTTAGCACAAATTGAGCACTTCTAGCTATTTAGGAAGGTGTGTCTGTCTGCAGTTGGGCATTCCACGGGGAGCCCTGCCTGCAGGGGCACTAGTGCTTGCCACATCCAGAAGCTTACAGACCAGCATTCGTGACCCTGTGACTAAGGGGGACCAAGTGACCTGCCTGTCCCACCACAGTCCATCCTGCAAGCTTCATCTTCCCTGCATGCATGGCTTCTCCTGCTCAGCATTTGCAATATCCCACAATATAACCCTTTTTATTTATTCCTGCTGCTTTCCAGGGGTGAAGGCCAGGCTCAGCGTTGAGCTCCCCTGGAAGGCCAATGCGCTGGTCCATTTGAACTTTATTTTAACTTGAATTCCACTCCATTTCTTTCCCCTTCAGCCTCGCTGTAGGTTATGTCTTTTTCCCTGATGGGAGGAAGGCTGGCATTGAGTGGTCCAACACCTCTCTGGCTGAGATGGCCGATGATGGTGTTATCAAGGATGAATACGGAGTCAGCTTTACCGCTGGTAAGCTACCTGCAGCCCACCTGTATCTGCTTTCAGCTTTTGGGCACACAGGTAATTTAGTGGAGGAGAGACTACTCAGTGAAACTCCACGTGATCCTTGGAGCAAATTTGAAAGCTAAACACATCCTCTTACGCCCTGAGAAATTGACTTTGGTGCTTCAGTGAAGTCATAGATGTGGGGTGTCATCGGTGAAATGGGGGGTGTGTGTCCACTGCAGGGTCAGGGCCACAGGCAGTTGTGTTAGAGGGAGAGTTACAGCTGCTATTTGTGGGGACTGTTGGTTATGATAATCCAGATAAATTATGGCATTTTCACTTTTGAGGCATCAAAATATACGTTATGAGGTGGATTCAGCTACTCTGGAAGTATGGCTTGATCAGGGATTTTACTTAATTTAGAAACCAGACCGGGAAACCATTGCCCTTTAGAAAAGCATAAGAAGAAACCATATGGAAAAATAATAGATCTTGGCAATTTTTGAGATAAAATACTATTGAAGGTTGGAGACATTCTACCCTTTCACTCTTACCAAAGGTGGCAAGAACTTTGATGTTTCTGCAACGCTGGATAAGCAGGCTTGCCCCGTGGTGTATAATGGCCTGACTGGAAGAGGTGTTTTCCACGAGTGCATTGCAGATTTCCAACTAAATGGCTCAACGCGAGGCTGGGGCTTGGTTGAATTTTATTACAGGTAAAATAATGACAGGCAAGAAGAGGTAAAGCATTCCCATCCTCCTATATTGACCTGTGTGGCTACAGCTTCATAGATACTTGAAGCATGAATGCACAGGTTTTTTATCTGATGTAAAGAAATGTTGTTCATTTAATGCTCGGTGTGTTTATTAAATTGACAAACATGATATATATTATTTGAAGAGGCACGATTGTGGAAGCACTGCATATATGAAGATAAACCATAAGCACTTATTCAGTTGTTTGTTACATGGGTTTATGTAGGATTTTATATTTCTGAGCTGGGGGATGGTCCATTCGGGAGACTGTCTTATTTAGGCAATCTGTCACATCATAGAAATAATGAGTCCTCTACCCCAAACAGCAGGCTAACCATTTTCAGGGTGAAATTTGCTCGCACGAGTATTTGTCAGACTGGAAGACAGAACAGATAAATGATCAGAAAATCAATACAGGGATGCCTCTTCTAGGGGAGAGGATTAACACTGACAAAGTATGTGCTTCTCAGTGAATTGCTGTTTCTCCTCCCACATGATTACTAGAGTCTTTTACTAGAGCTTTTTCCCTCTTGAGTCTTTTCTCTTGTGAAAAAAAGGCAATTTTGGTTGTTTACATTTAGTTTGCTTTTTCAAATAAACACTAATTCTTGGCTGTCAGAGGAAATGCCATAGATGACTTTCAGAAGACTGAGCGCTCAGGTTTTTTTCTGAAAACCAGACACATTTAAAGCACATAAAACAAACCACTAAACCCCCCAAACGCCCGCTGGTTGAACTTGAAAGCCGTGGCCCGTGGCTGCTGCCTGGTACCTGCTCTGGGCTGCCAGAACCTGCATGGTGGAGAAAATGACCCAGCACAGAAAGTCTCTGCTAAAACCCGAACAAGTCACCCTCCCCAAGTCCAGACAGCCCTGGACATTTCTAGATCTGCCCCAGGAAGGCTTGATTTGGCAATGCTGACAAAATTCCCCCAGGCTCCCATCTGGTATCTGCTTCCAAATCAAAAACCATGTTAGAAATGAAAGGGTGGGTGGCTGGTTCTTCCTCCTCACCGCAGAACGCCAGCTCAGCATCGCTGCTCTTCTTGCAGGGACGAAGCCGCCCAGCCGGTTCCAAATTTGCAGCTGGGTTCAAAAGCCAAAGGAGCAGACCTTTCCTCTTGGAGCCCTGTGACCAACAGCTCTCCCCCGTGAGCGTTTGCGAGCCTGCCCCAGCGGCGACAGCAAGCAGCAGCTTTAGAAAACATGTTATTCTCTGCAAAATGCGCAGTTTTGAGGGTGGAACTCGTTGTCGCAGGATGCTGCCGAGGTGGAGGGTATAAAAGGATTTGGGAGAAGTGAGATACATTTCCAGTGGTGTGGCTCTTAGCTGTTACTGACTGTGGTGGTCTGGAGGGAATTTAAAGGAAACCTGGAGGACTGCATGAGGAGGGATTGCTCTACGCTCTGCCTTTTTGGTATTTTTCCAAAGTTTCCAGCTGCTCCCCACAATGACGACCAGGACACTGGGCAACGTGGATCTCTGGCCCAATTTAACAGTTCCTCTGTTCTTTCAGATATGTTTTTGAAATAAAAGCTGTATCTTTCTGAACTCTTTGGTTGTTATCACCATTAAAACATGGGAAAAAGCTGTTACTGGAAACTACACTGATTTAATAGTTTTGTCTATAACTGTATGAGAGCTGAGCTGGAAGAAGTAGGAGAAAACACATATGAATGAGGTTGCATGTAGCAATAGCATCAATGGCCAACAAAATAAGTGATACAAACACATTTTTCCCTGTCTGAAGCAAAGCCAGGATCTGGCAGTCTGATTTAGAAGACGTTCTGAATTTCTCATAATTTGCTTGAATTTAGATGCGATATTAATCACAACATTCATTAGTCACTGATAGCTGCTGGCCCAAGGTAACCTACAGTGTATTCCCTAGCTAGATGCCATTAAGTACTGAAAATTAAATATAATATGTCAAGAAAAAATAGTTACATGGGAGATCTGGACAGAAAGAATTAAGGAAGATACCTCATTCTCTATGCCAGGTAGCAATGCTATGCAACTGCTGCGAGCATCCTAAGAACATGTTAAAATAGTACCTCCATCCCCTTTAAGAAAGTAGTGGAATGTGAGTACATATATATATATTTATAATCTCTGCTTAGGTTGACACTGAAGGAGACTTAACAGACTTTAAAGAAGGCTTTCTCCTTTCTGAGGTAGTTCTTACACTTATTACTATAAGAGTGTTACATGCAGAACAGGTGCATGAATGTAGAATTATTCACCCCATAGATATCACGGCAATGACTGCGTGCTCAAATTTGGGGTGCGTTACTGAACAAGGCTGGGATGATGCAAGCAACAGCCTGATCTGTCATAACAGGCTGGTTTTATCAGCAGTCTCTTCAGCAGCTGTGCAGTAGGGTAGAGAGATTCCCACTCCCTAATTTATGATGTTGTCCCTGTTCTGCATTTGTGCCTGTGAGCTGTGCCCCACCGAAGGCAGAGATTTGTGGTACAAGTGCCTTGCCCCTCCTTGCACCCCAAACCATCAGCTGTATGTGTGAAGCAGGCTTAGGATTGCATTTCTTTTGGGATAGCCATTGACTCAGAGCTTTAGATTTTAGCTGGACTTCTCCTAGAAATACTTCTCTAGTTACAGAGCGTTAAAAAACGCATTCTTGTGAGCCTTGCACAAATTTAAAGATGTCTTAAATCTGTCTGTGCGCTGGAAGTCTCAATGCACTGAAACAAGGAGCTTCTAAATTACTTGAGACAATGGTACTTTGACAGATGGGAAGGCCTTATGCCTCTTTTTACACATAAGAAATCAGTCAAATAGGTAATTTTAGAAAGGTTAGAAAAATAACAGCATTTTGCATCACAGTTTGTTCCTACAAAGTATGTAGCTTGTTTTGCTATGATCTCAGGAACATCTGTTCCTTCTTTTTCTGTGAAGCTTTTGTGATCTCTCTCTTTCCTTTTTGCTTTTTTTTTTTATTTGAGGACTAAAACATTAACATTTAGAAAAAGGAATATATAGGCAATAATGCGCAAAGTCTTTGGAGGTATGCACTTCTGTTGGATAATGTAGATAATGAGAAAGATTGTTAATTATTACTCTGGAGTGATAGTTTGAGAAATTACTGTAAAAGAATTCCCTGTCTGGGCTAAAAATTAAAAATCCATTCCACCAAGGAAGGTACTGGTCTGGCTGTTTCTGATAGGCAGAAATTGGGATACAACTAAGGATACTGGGGGGCAAATGATAGGTATCACCTCCAAATTGTAGTCTCTGAAGTTTATGTTTCTGCAGCAGATGAGGCAGAGGAGGAGTACGCAGCCTTCATTGCTCTCTTTTTGTCCTCTTTACTTGTTTCTTTTGGTACCAGTGGATGGAGAATTAGAGCACTCCTGAGTTCAGTTTGGAAAAGTTCAAGCAGGGTACAGAAAATGATTAATAAAGTTTTGAGCTGGCAGGTTTATTTGCCAGGTGATGAACTACTGGTACAGTATTTCAGTTTGAAGGACTGAAAAATTGACTGTCGGGGGTTTTCTCCCTGGATTTCAAATTAGTTTATAGTGAGCTTGTGTCCAGGACACATGGAATAACTTATTTAATTTAAAATAAATCTACCGAGCCCCACGCTTTGACTATATGAAGTGGTCCTTCTCTTGCGGCTCCTTTCTCGGTGGAAAAATCCATCTTGGGAAATGCTTGTGCAGCCCAAAAGCATTAATTTTGAGGGGGGAAAAAAAAAAAAAAAGCAAAAAAAAAAAAAAAAAGAGGGAGCAGAATAGCCACGTCCCCGCCTTCAAACCTGTCTCTGTGTCTACCCTTACTTCTGCCTGGATTAGTCGACATAAAGCTGTTTTCTACAGCCGGGGGGAAAAAAAAAAAAAAAGCAAAAAAAAAAAGCAGTAAAGGGAGGTAAGTCTTGGCTAGAAGTGAAATGTAGCATATGATCTGCTCTCGTCCGGCATGAAGGGAGGCAGCTGGAGCCTTGTCAGGATGAGCTGCTTTCCAGCATCTGCGTTTTGCACGTCTGGGAGGAACTGAACACCTGTAATTCCTGCTGCTGTCAATGGGCCAGCGCCTGACACGGCAAAATACTTGCAAAAAATGCTTCCACGTCCCACTGGAGCTCACATGCATGTAGAATTTCAAGATTCAGGCACTTATAAAGAGGTCATTTAAAGGCTGTCAGCCCCAAACTAAGCACTCCCCATCAATCTGGCCTTGGCTACTGATGTCTAGAATGGTAAATATTTTACTAGGCTTATTTATTCTCCTTCCTTTTTGCAATACTTCATGGTATAGATATAAAGGCCATTTTCAGTGACATTGTATTTCACTGGCAAAAAGAAAGGAAGAAAAAAACCTTTTTTCTGTTTGGATTTATGTCCTGGCTTTACAGTTGGTGAAGCAAAGTGTAGCCCTGGGAGTTCTGTAATTTATCAAAAAAATGCAGTATATGGCCGAATTATCTCTGCAAAGCAACCAATTATTTCAAAAGTAGACTTTTCCCTCCATAAGAACAAACTCAGCAGCCAAATGACTCAAAGACATTCCAGACAAAATGACTGATAACCACCCACTCCCTTCTCCTATTTACTGGAACCCTACGGCCTCACTCTCCCTCTTGTTTACCATAAAAAAGCCACATCAGTCTTTCTCCATCCAAAACTGCTTTTCCCTAAACTGTGACTTTTTTATTGTTGCTGCTCTCCTAACATACTTAGGCTCAGAGCTCAGGTGGCTGAAGCAGGGCCTCCGAAGGGATCTATTCTGGGGGGTTTTTTGGGTCCTGCCTCCCCATTTTGAGTTATTTTCCTTTCCTGGTTGAGACTGTAATTAGTTACAGCATTGATTTTTGCTTTTATTCAGCACAGAAAACGTTACTCAAAACATAGTGCAAGTGAAGTTCATTCTAATCTGGCCATAAAGTTTTACGAGGGAAGTAAATCAAAGGGGGGAGTGGCAGCTAATGCTCTGGAACAGTTGAGCCCTGTTCAAGCTTTCTCAATAGAGTTAAATCCCTCCAGGAGCAATTAGCCTAACAAGCTGTTTGGTCCACTTATAAATAACGTCACCGATGGAGACGTCTGGAGGTGTCTGCTCTGTGCACAAGAGACTTTCTAAATATGCTGAGTGGTGAATGACTTTTTTTTTTTTCTTATCCACAGCAGGGGGGTGGAGATGCATATCTGACATGTCCCAGCAGCTTCGCTCACGTATTTATCATGTTTTCCGGGCAAGATAAGAGCGGGGAAAGTAGGAGTGCCATGCTCTTCTGGTGTGTCCTCCTACATTGCTTGGTAGTTGTGTGTGGGACAGCATGTCTTAAGTGCTGAATCCAAATGCTTTGGCCAAAGTACTTTAGAAATGGCCCTGTGCACAATAAACCTGGAATTGTTCATGGCTGAAGTCCTTGTCACAGCCCCTGCAACAACTGACACTGGAGAGGGACTTTTGGTTGCTATAGGTGTTAGAAATGTGATTTGCAGAAGGTGGGCCATCAGATGCCATTTGAGCAAGAAGCTGTTGACAGGAGTGAGGGTCTGGGTGCAGCCCATGGCTGTGCCAGCCCTGGAGGGCTGGAACATGGGGGAGTGAAGTTTTACCTCTCCAGAGTGTCTTCTCTGATAGTATTTGTTGGAGGCACTCAACAAGGTGGAGATTTCTTTTGCATGTCACTAAGTGACTTTGGTTTCTGTTTTCAGGGACATCTCTGGCACATCTTGGCCCCGACTTCAACTATCACTATGGCCTCATTTTTAACTTCTGCTTGAGAGCTGACCTTAGTTTTCCCACCTGTCCCGTTGGCTTGAAACCTCTTCTTGGGTTTGTTTTTTTTTAATACCATCTGTTTTTCTTTTTCTAAAACATTGTAAATTTCTACCCTTTGTGCTCTTACGAACTTTCTGCAGCACGTAGAGAGCTTACCCCATGAAACTGGCTTCATAAAATGCTAATTATAAGTTTTCAATTGCAAGGATAAATAACTGCCCATATCCTTTTAAAGTTTCTTTCTAAAGGTTCTTTTAAAGACCACGAGTACATCTGGGACCTGACTCATACCTTTGTGCAGGTCAAAAATGCTGTTCATACTTCTCTCTGCTCTTGGGGCCAGGACAGTGGTAACTGTTCAGGAAAGGAGATGGTTTTTACTTCCATCACGCCTTTTCCTTGGAAATTGCAATTGTGATTTTTTCCTTCTGCAAAATGACCCAAATTGTGCACACTTGATACTTTTTGATTAATTTTTAAACCTTCCCGCTGGATGAAGCATGGGAAATTCCACTGTTTGTTGCTTTTGTTGTCAATCCTAAATGTCCTTCAAGTCAGGGTCAGATAATCAGTTGGTAAGGAATTAAAAAAAAAAAAAATTGCAGGCCCCCAAAGTTTAAGAATATTTGATAATGTTTTGCAGAGATGAGGAATGGGAAAAGCTCTGAGGTTACACAACGTGCTGTGCTGCTGGTTGTCTTTACTAAAGCATCCAGATCTCAATGTTTCCTTTCCCAGTCTTGTTTCTGCTGTTATTCTAAGGCATGTAGGCTTCTACCACATGTTTATAAGCTGATAAAACCATAATGTCAGGAATGTTTTCCTTCCTCAATTAGATTAACAAAATAAGTGACTT